CATAGAATACCCTAAATGGCATCTCTCAAATAAAATTATCTAAGAGAACTCTCAATAAAAGGAGACTCATCAAATATATATGAACTGTATGCATTACTCGTCATCTTTCAACATGATAATGAAACAAGTCATGTAGTATATATAGGCTTAAATTTAGATATATACTTGAATTTGAATTGAGATTTCAATTTAAATATTTAATTTTGAGTAGCCTTTATGAATTTATAAATTAGGATTTTTGATTTTTGGTGTTGAGATCTTTGAAATTGAAAAAAAAAATGTCAACTCTTTGATGCATAAGGCACAAAGTGTGTAGCATATAGTTTTACCACGCTTTATGTATACGATTGTACAAGATTTCTTATACAAGTCTAATTAAAAATATTGAACTATAAACCATAAAATTGTGGAGTTATATTGTATTAAAAAATTGCAATTACAAGTAATTATATACATGGGGTTAACTAATACATTATGAATGTTTCAATTACCACTTGAATGACGTGCCTTACCAAAGGAATGAGTGAAGCTCGTTCATAGGGATCCACATTTAGTGGGTAAGTACCCACAAAATGTTGCGTTGGGGAGGTAAAATATGAGTTAAAATGGTAAATTACACCATGAACGCAATATTTACCATCTAAACGAGACTCCTGCGTTCATGGAGTAAACACCCTCGTTTATTAGTAAAGGCGGCCAAAAATGCCCTTTTACAATTTAAACATACATTTTTTTCCGTGAACTCAAATGTTGCGTTTGGGAGGTTAAATATGCTTTAAAATAGTAAAATTACAACATAAACGCATACTTTACCATTTAAATGACACTTCTATGTTTAGGGAGTAAAGACCCTCATTCATGAGTAAAGGGCCTAAAAAGCACTTCTACAATTTAAACGTAGATTTTACTCTGCCAACGCAAATATTGCGTTTGGGAGGTAAAATATGCATTACAATAGTAAATTTACAATATGAATGCATAATTTACCATTTAAACGACACTTCCGCATTCAGGGAGTAAAGACCCTTTATTTATGAGTAAAGGGCTTGAAAAGCACTTTTACAATTTAAATGTAGATTTTACTCCACAAACGCAAATGTTCCGTTTGGGAGGTAAAATATGAGTTTAAATAATAACATTACAACATGAATGCAGAATTTACCATTTATCTTTTCTTAATTAAACAAAAAAAAAAAAAAAAAAAAAAAAAAAAAAAAAAAAAAAAAAAAAGCCATACGCCATGAGCATGCATGTGAAAGGGCTATAGTAATAATAGTAATATTATTAAGCTACTATTAATTTTGAGTACTACTATTTCCACCCCCTTGTCCTATTTCTCCACCCACCTTATCTTCAAAATTTTAAAGACAAATTTACCCCTTTATAAAATGACTTCTAAGTCCCTCATCCCGACGAAACCCCAACTGCCCCACCACACATCCGAACCCCACCTCCTCTCTCCTTCTTTTGTCTCTTCCCCTCTCTCTCTCTCTTCAACAGACCAACCCTACTATCTGTCTTATCTTCCCCATGCACCCATCCACCCTCCCCCTCCTATTTTATCCTTATTTCTCTCCTTCCTCCTCTCGACAGCCACCCTTATGAATGAATTGATTCTTTATTTTTCTTTCGTTTGTTATTTGGTATGGTTTTAGGTTGAATAACTCAAAGGGTTATTGGGTTTTGGATTGGCAGGGGGTTGAAGGTTAGCATGCTTTCAATGAAAGCAAGGGCATGCTGTAGGGACTTGGGACTAAAGGGTGTATTTCGGGATTTTTTTTTTTAAATTTTGATTGAAGAAGAAGAATAGGAAGGATTTGTTTGGGTAATTTTTTGCTTGATTTATGGGTTTTGGTTGAATTAATAATGAAATGATATTTTAGGAATAAAGGTTTGTGAAAAAATAGGATTGTGTTGTTTCAAATTTACATGATGGGTGGGAATATAAGGTGGGTAGAAAAATAGGACAAGAGGGTGAAAATAACAACACTCTTAATTTTTAATGCATTTGTTCATGTCTCTTATGTTTGGGTTTTGGATAGTATTGGCTATTTTCAGTGCTATCTTTTTAAACTCTTATAGTGCTTATTATTTTTAATAAAATATCTATTCCAAAAAAAAAACCTACTTTTAGCGGTATATTTGGACTTTTTTAAGGTTAGAAAATAGTTTCTTTAAGACCCAAAAAAAAAAAACATAAACACGCTAATTAAAATCATGTCGTTTTTTTCTCTCTAAAAAACAAAATGTCGTTTTCTTTTACAGAAGTTTCTGGTCTCTTGCGTTTGCGTTCGTCTCTCTCTCTCTCTCTCTCTCTCTCTCTCTCTCTCTCTCAACCATTTCAGATCTGTATGCAAATTGCGAGGCCCCTCATCAAACGAATTTGATAGCGTATTGCCAAGCCACTCTGAAATTTCCAACGGGTTGTTGAATAGATAATGGCTACTGAGTTTGATGTTTGTCAATTTGGTCACTTTTTTTTTGCAACATGGGTGATTGGGAGGGGCGTTGGGCGATGGGGACGGAGATGGAGGAATTAGAAAATGACTGAGGTAGTCACGTGTAAAAGCACCCTTTTATTGGATTTTTTTCACAATTTATTCTGGACCATTGGATCAAATCATTCAAATCTAACGGTCCGACAAGTTGATGTATCGATACTTTGATGCGTATTAGAATTTTGGTATTCCTTGTAACTTTGACTCTATTTTCTCACGTGGTGACATGACTCGGTGGTCTCAGAAACAGTGTCCTAAATATCACACGTCACTTTTGTAGGAAAAGAAACCTGTTCCACGTTTAAATTTCATACGTCCTTGTCGGTGCTACTTTTCTATGTCCCAAACTTCCTAGGAACTCTTATAAGTATTGGCTTCTATTTGTATCAAACATTAGCAAGCTTCCCTCCAAATTATTAAACCCTTCATCGTGTACGACACCATTAATGGCTACTTCTCTGAAATTCACTGCTACTGGCTTTCTTCAACTTAAGAAACCTCAAAACCCATTTCTTCTTCACTCTCCATCCCAAGCATCTGCCGTTTCAGTCAAGAGACGTCTTATAACGCCAATGGCTGCTCTCACCTTGACCCCTACCATCAATCTCTCTCAAACTTTCACAAAATTGAAGAACCAACGCAAAGTAGCATTTATCCCTTACATCACTGCCGGTGATCCCGACCTTTCAACCACGGCGCAAGCGCTGAAGATGCTCGATTCTAGTGGGGCGGACGTGATCGAGTTAGGTGTGCCACACTCTGATCCAATACTAGACGGTCCAGTTATTCAGGCTTCAGCCACTCGTTCCTTAGCTAGAGGGACCAATTTCAATTCTGTTATGTCAATGTTAAAGGACGTGGTCCCACAATTGTCTTGTCCGATCGTTCTATTTTCGTACCATAACCCAATTATAAAGCATGGTACTGAAAACTTCATGTCCACAATTAGCGACGTTGGGGTACATGGTCTTGTGGTTCCAGATGCTCCATTTGAAAAGACAAAAAGCTTGAGAAAGGAGGCTGTGAAGAATAATGTTGAGTTGGCATTACTAACTACACCCACTACGCCAATAGATCGAATGAAGAAGATAGTTGAGGCTTCAGAAGGATTTGTATATCTTGTGAGCACTGTGGGAGTTACCGGTGCCCGTGAATCGGTGAACGAACAAGTTCCGAGGCTTTTAAGGGAAATTAGAGAGGCAACAACCAAGCCTGTGGCAGTTGGTTTTGGGCTATCAAAGCCTGAACATGTGAAACAAGTAGCAGAGTGGGGAGCTGATGGTGTTATTGTTGGTAGTGCCATTGTGAAGGTGTTGGGGGAAGCCAAATCTCCCAAAGAAGGGTTGAAAGCACTTGAAACTTTCACCAAGTCTTTCACATCTGCACTCCTTGGATGACATTTAATTATGAAATTTTCAGTGAAGCAGTGATAGAGTGTAGTAACTAACTTTGTGTTATGCCGTAACATGCATGCTTAATTAGCAGCATTCGACTGTACTATGTGCCACTTATGTTTGGATTTATAGTTGTGATATTATTTTGTGTTAATTTCTTAAGAAAAGAAATTAGTGTTATTGATTTCCAGTAATGTTAGCCACACCAAATTGATGCACTAAATTTTGAGTCTCAAATGATATGAGTGCACATTGTTAATTTGAACTAGACTTTTATAACTCAACACATACCTTGGTCAGATATCTTGGCTATGGAGGATTTTCTTCTCTATGCAACACTGTAATGCTATTTTTCTAGATGGGGTGAGAGCTATGTTTAGTGTGTCTTATTGCTAGAGAAGGGACCTCTATATATATGCATTACTCGAAAGCCTTGCCCCATCAAGGAGCTGTCGAGTGTTCTAGTTGCATTAGAATTAGGTTGTTTCAATCCATGTAGAATTAGGAATTCCATTATCTCTTGTACTTCAATTAGGATAGCTTTTAAACAAGGATAATCCGATAAGTCTGAGTATATTTCTGAACATGCAAAACTCTCGAGTCCTCACTTGATTAGAAGACCACAATTCGTGGTTAAGACAACTCCCACTTGGTCGATTAATCATAAGAGTGTTTGCATAGATCACTTTAAGGCCTTGTGAAATATGACTCAAAGCAATTCCCACCAAGCAATTGTCAACTGTAAAGCATGAGGAGGGGTTATCAAGACTTCTGTGAATATCTTGTACTTCAAGGTCTTTATAAGCACATTCATCACCCTTTAAAGCCACATAAGCTTCGATCAAGATTAAACAGCAAAACAACATGATATACTGTAAAAGCTAAGATATTACCATGTTTGTTCAATGTCCCTGATTTGACTACCAAGGTCTTATTATGTTCACTGTCATGGATACATTACCATGCACAACTTCTTTAAGCTAGCAATGCTGCTAAATGTTATCCATGCATTCTCAAAACATAACAACAGAACTTTAAAATAAAATTAACTTTAATTTGAACCAAACTGTATCAACATCCATTGAAACTACAGAAAAACAGTAACTGTTTAATTTGGTACTCCTTTGGTAAGTGGATATGCAATCATTTGATTTGTTCCTATGTGATCTATGGTAGTGTATCCTTGACTGATTTTCTCCTTGACAATTATGAATTTTACATCCAACAGTCTTGAACCTCTTGTTCTTTTGTTTCCCTTAGCAAATGTCACTGCACTGTTGTCATTCCATAGTTGGATAGGCCTGTGTATTGATTCCACCACACTTAAGCTGATGATAAAATTCCTCAACCACATAGCTTGAGAAGTGGCTTCATAGCAGGCTAGAAATTCAGTAAGCATTGTAGAACCAGTTGTAAGAGGCTGTTTGATGCTTTTCGATGAAACTGCAGCTCATCCAAACATAAACACAAAACCAGATGTGGATTTTAATGTGTCTTGACATCCTGCAAAGTCTACATCTGCAAATCCTTGTAATTCCAATTGCTCACTTATTTTGAACACCAGCTTGTAGTCCTTTGTTCTCTGCAAGTATCTCATAACTTTCTTCCCTACAACCCAATATGCTTGTCCAGGATTAGACTGAAATCTCCCTAACATGCTAACTGCAAAAGCTAGATCAGGTCTTGTGCATACATTGGACTCTCTACTAGTGAAGCATAAGGTTTGTCAGCAATTTCAAGCTTTTCTTGTTCAGTTTTAGGTGCGTGCTCAGTGCTTATCACCTTTTGCAGTGGGAACATCACTGCCTACACAATCCTGCATATTTAACCTTTTGAGCACCTTATCTATGTAAGATCTCTGTGATAGTCCAAGAAAACCCTTCTCTTGATTTCTACTTATGTCTATGCCCAAAACATAGCTTGCTTCTGCCATATCAGTCATATCAAAGTGTTTGAACAGAAAACTTTTACAGTCCTGTAGCATGGTGAGATTTGTGCAAGCCAATAAGATGTCATCCACATAGAGAACTAGAATAATGAAATGTCTCCCACTGATCTTCATGTATGCACTCATCCAATGCGTTTTCTGTGAATCCATATGCTTTTACAACCTTATTAAGTTTCAAATACCATTGTCTCAAGGCTTGCTTTAGTCCATAAATTGATTTACACAATTTGCAGACGAAATTCTTCTCTTTTTCTTGAATAAAGCCTTCTAGTTGCATCATATAAATCTCTTCTTCAAGGTCTCCATTTAAGAATGCAATCTTAACATCCATTTGATACAAATGTAGATAAAATTGTGCCACTAGGGCCATGATTATTCTCATGCATCGATTCCCCCCATATGTGTAAACCCTTTGGCAACCAATCTTGCCTTATACCTATCCACCTGCCCTTTTGAGTTTCTCTTTGTCTTAACCACCCATTTACAACCTATTGGTTTGCAACCTTGAGGTAAGGTCACAAGCTTCGAAATTCCATTCTTTCCCCATTGAATTCAACTCTGATTTCATGGCTGCCCACTGGTTTTCACTCTTTTCACTCATCATGGCTTGTTTGAATGTCATGGGATCCTCAATTCTGTTTATATCATGCTTAGCTCCTTGTAGATACACAAAATAATCATCTGTCAATGCAAACCTTCTTATTCTATGTGATCTTTTTAATTCTGAGTTCTGTTGCATTTATGCATCTTCTTATATTTGAACTATGTCTTGGTTTTCTGCTGGCAGTGTCTGATTATTATCCATCTGCATTGGTTATGCAGTTTCAGTTTGATCTGTGATTATATCCTCAATCTGATCCAGTTGTGAGTTGTCTAAATTTGTTTGAGGCAATCTTACAGCTTTTTCTGTAGAATTATGTGATGTCAAAACGTCTGTAGTAATCTCATCAAAACTGAAGTTCTCTTCTGCAGTTTTCTCTTCATTAGTTTCTATAAATATTTCTCTTGATGTCTCTATGAACCTCATGATGTGATGAGGGCAGTAGAACCTGTAGCCTTTGGTTCTCTTAGGGCAACCAATAAAATGACAACTTATGGTTTTGGGGTCTAGTTTCTTTTCTGCAGGATTATAAGGCTTGGCTTCTGCTTTACAACCCCAAGTTCTTAGATGTTTTAGGCTAGGTTTTCTTCCATTCCAAATCTCATAAGGGATCTGGTTAATACTCTTGGCTGGGACTTTATTTAGGACATAATTGGCAGTTTTCAAGGCTTCTCCCTAGAGGAATATTGGTAAGTTTGCACGGCTCATCATGCTTCTTATCATGTCTTTCAATGTTCTGTTTCTACTTTATGAGATTCTATTTTGTTGAGGAGTACCTAGATTTGTGTATTGAGCTATAATTCCTTCTTGCTGGAGGAATTTTGCAAAGACTCGAGGATTTCTTCCAGTCTCATCAAATCTTCCATAGTATTCTCCACATTTATCCAATCGAACTAATTTAATTTTGAGGTTTAGTTGATTTTCTAATTCAGCTTTGTAAATTTTGAACATGTCTAAGGCACTTGATTTTTCTTTTATGAGATAGACATGTCCAAACCTTGAGAAATCGTTTGTGAAAGTTATGAAGTAGGTAAATCCTTCATCAGTAGGATTAGGAAAAAGACCATAGATATCTGTGTGAATGAGTTCTAAGACACCTTTGCTTCCTATTGCTCCCTTTTCCCTTAATTTAGTCAATTTCCCCTTGACACATTCAATGCATATTTCATTTTGATTGTCATGATTCATTGATGGCAAGATTGATTCTTTGCATAGTTGATTAATCCTTTCTTTTGAGATGTGGCCAAGCCTTTTATGCCATAGTTTATAGGAGACTTCATTGCTTGTTTTGGTTTGCACACTGTTAACTTCCATTTCAGTTCTTTTGCAATTTAATTGAAACATTCCATCAATGAGCCTTGCTTTGCCAATTAACTCTTCATTCTCGAAAATAGAACAACCAGTTCCAACAAAATTCAATTTGAACTTTGATTTTACAAGCCTACTAATTGAAATTAAACTCTTCTTCATAGAAGGAATGTAAACTACTTCATCTAACTCCAAAACAAATCCAAACTCTAATTCAATTCTAATTGCTCCTATGAATTCTACTTGAACCTTTTCTCCATTGCCAACGAACACCTTCACTTCATCCTTGCTTAGCAGTCTCTTCCTTATGAATCCCTGCAAAGAATTAGCTACATGAATAGAAGCACCACTGTCTAGCCACCATGAATCATGCGAGAAATCAACCAAATTTAATTCAATACAAACTAGAATATGTTCACAGTTACCTTTAGTTTTCTGCTTATCTAGCCAGTTTTTGTACTTTATGCATTCTTTCTTCATGTGCCCTGGTTTCTTGCAAAAGAAACATTTCATCCCAGTTGATGGTTTCAGATACTTTTCAGTGTTGCCACCTTTCCTTTTGCAATCATTGTATTGTTCCTGTTTTCCTTTTTCTGCTTTGTTTGGACCATGTTCACCATTTTTGCTCCTATTTCCCTTGTGATGTTGTGTTCCTGTTGAACACAGATGGTGATCAGATCATTTAATGTCCACAATTCCTTTTGAGCAAAGTAGGTTTCTCTAAGGGACTTGAAATCCTTTGGCAATGAGTTCAAAGCAAAATGCACCATCATGTCCTCATAAACTGTCATCTCTAGTTCCTGCAATTTGGTTCCTATGTCAATCATATTCAGAATATGAGCCTTCAAACAGCCTTGTCCATCATACTTCATGTCGATCAACTTGTTCAGCAAAGTGCTTTTGACTGCTTTCTCAAATTCTTTAAACCTTTGTGCAATTGCCTCATAGCATTGCTTAGCATTTTCGGATTTGGGAATGCTACCTTTGATTGATGATGCCATAGCTCTCTGCATAATTAATATAGCCATCTTATTTGCCTCCACTTAGCAAACTTAGTCTTGATTTCTGCTGAAGCATATGTAGCAAGTTCTTGAGGAGGGTCTTCTTTGAGAACAAAATCATGGTCTAGAAAACCTAGGGAGATTTCCAAATCCTGCTTCCATTTCTAGTAATTTGATCCAGTCAGAGTTTCGATGGTGTTGTGGTTCACTGTAAAGATTTGTTTATAAAATCAGATGAACAATATTGTCCCCAAAAACTTTACTTAAATATGTCAGTTTACACCTGTGGGTTTAAAAGGTCATATTCCAAAATCCCAAACAGCAAACTACACAAAACTTCCTGCGCAAGAAATCTCACATCTATGGATGTAGAGAAGCTTGCTAGTTTGTGCAGTCTCTTGTCCAAATTGTTCCATCAATTTCGTTATCAATCTATACAATTCCCATATGTGTATGGGAAAAAATACATAAGGCTACTTATATTGATGCAATTTTTGATCAGACTGTCGTCTCAAGATCTCTCATACAAACTGAGCAGTTGTGGCTTACTCAGTTTGCATAGTAGATCCCAAAACTTGATCAAAGTCTTTTGTAGCATGATCAAGCAGTAATTCTTTGTGCCCTTGATCATACCTAAATAGATAAGATATGCAAACTGTTTGAAAACTTCATATTATAGCGACTATTAAATAAAACAGAAAACTTATATGCAGATTTTGTCGAAGAAATGGATTAGATTAAAAAACAAAAGCCTAGAGCTCTGATACCACATGTTAATATGAACTAGACTTTTATAACTCAACACTAACCTTGGTCAGACATCTTGGCTTTGGAGGATCTTCTTCTCTATGTAACACTATAATGCTATTTCTCTAGATGGGGTGAGATCTGTGTTTAACATGTCTTGTTGCTAGAGAAGGGACCTCTATATATATGCATTACTCGAAAGCCTTGCCCATCAAGGAGCTGTCGAGTGTTCTAGTTGCATTAGAATTAGGTTGTTCAATCCATGTAGAATTAGGAAATTCATTATCTCTTGTACTTCAATTAGGATAGCTTTTAGACAAGGATAATCCGATAAGTTTGAGTATATTTCTGAACATGCAAAACTCTCGAGTTCTCACTTGATTAGAAGACCCACAATTTGTGGTTAAGACAATGAATTGTCTTACACACATGCCATGACATAAATATTTAATTAACCAACTTCAACCTGAATTATGACAAAACTTAAAATTTAATTAATCAACACCCAACCTGCTTTCTTACAATCGTTCCCACTATCACAAATAATCGAAATAAATACAAACAATAAACTTTGTACTATTCATTTGTATATGTAACAATTTTACAGTTTAGAGTACAACACCTCAGCTGGGTTGCCAACCAAAAGGTCGGAATTTCTAGATATATACTGAGCTTTCAAATTCAAACTACAATTTGAATTGAGACTAGCTAGATTTCAAGAACCCTATATTTGAAGGAAAACAAGACATCACTATAACAACCATAGATATTCTCCTCAGGGCAGCAAGAACAATTAGAAAGAGAATCAGATACCCTATAAATCCCCTTTCCTACTCTTCCTTTCCTTTCAACAATCAATAATGGTGTTTCTCCGCCAGCCAATGATCCTTCAAATCCCTGGCTTTCACTTTTCTATATTGTAAAATTGTTACAGATACAAACAATGGCGGCCAATGGCGGATTCTGGAATTTATTTAGGACCTGGCTAAATTTTTTTTTCTTGGCTTCTTATATAATATAATATATATAATGATTCAAATTATCTAGATTTTTTTTAGTAGGGGGACTAAAGCCTGAAAACAGCATAACTAAACGTGAACTAGGCCTATAGTCTAGTTAAATTTTGAAATTCATTTTCCAAACACTAACACGGATAAGTACAACCAAACCAAAAAAAAACACAAATTAGTAGAACTAAAAATTGGAGCCAATTAATTAGCAAACAAACAACCAATGAATAAAGATCATAAACTTGAGGAATAAAGGTGAGGTACTATCTTAGATTGCATGTAGATTGGGGAAGATTTAGAGCATGGTATCATTAATGATGTTCTAATATATTAATATTGTATTTGAGTTTGACCAACGACAAATAATAATGGGACAAGAAAAAAAGTGTAAGTTGTGTTATTTTAATTTTCTAATGTTTTACTTTTCCTTTTTTTAATCTTTTTGTAAGTTATGTTTGTCTGATCTTGTATCTTTCCGTTGGCTGAGGAAAAAAAAAAAGGTACTATGTGTGGCTATGAGGTAGTAGGCTAATATTTAATTGTACTACATTTCTTTATAATCAAGAAAAAAAAATACAAAATATAGGAAAAACAAAATCTGAGAATTTGAGATAGAGAGTTGAGTGGAAAAGAAAATAATAAGATACATGCTGCTGGAAAAGAATTTGCATACAAAGTTGTATGTTGGAGGCCTCTTATATTGGGCAACTTGAAAACCAATATTAAATAGGAATATGAAAATCAACATTAATATTATCCTATTAATATAGGAGAAGCGCGCAATGGGATACCAATCCTCACATTAATAAAATAATATTTATTATGAAGCCTAATTTTCTTTATTTTGTACTGAAAGACTAATGAAAAGTGAATATTAATGTTATTAAATTAATATAATTACTAAGCTACAAGTACAACATCATAAATGTAAATTAATATTTAAAGTGGGGTCTCCTTTAAAGTGGGACCTTGTGCGATCGCTCACTTTGCTTATGCCAAATGCCGCCCCTTCAAATCAATATATATAGTACATAGTTCTTGTTACTTGTATTGATTATGTTTTTTTAACGGGTCAAGGATTTCGTTTGTTTGTGATGGTGGGAACGATGGTACATACAACAGCAAGCTTGATTGTTTAGGGCGAGCTGCAAAACTTTTGATTAATTCTGTTTGAACACCCAATGAACATCAACCACGTGGACTATTCCAAGGCTACGTGTGCCTTCGGCACTCATCTTCGGCACTGTACCTACCGATCACAACATTAGGGCAACCTTGCCCACTCTGGCACGTGGCATCTCCACGATTGACGCCCAGAGTCCCACATCGAAACTCTAAGCAAATTGCACACCTCCCAAGGCCTATAAAAGAGGACACCTATCCCAGCCTGAAGGTAATCAATCAGAACTTACGGCACACTGCCTATTGATCTGCAGTTTAATCTTACTAAACCCGTACTTACTTAAGCATCGGAGAGCCTTCGGCCGGTACCACACCGGTGCCCTAGGATTTACCGTGTGTTTGCTATCTTACAGATCGCACACCCTACCGAGGACATCAGATACCGAAGGGACTTAATCACTAAGTTACGCGGGAAAGTGCCGAACCATTTTTCTGCGTCAACAGTTTGGCGCCGTCTGTGGGAAGCGATATAATCAAACCTACAATTCCTAAACAAAACAAATGGGAACCACTTCAGGACCACAGTTCCTATCAGAGGATGGATTACCGTACGGTATGCCAAGTGGAGCAAGCCCCGCGCTGCACCCTAGCACTCCCTTCGGTAATCCACCTGCGCTTCAGACCACGGTCGAAGCGGAGCTTTTGGCTCAGATGACCTCCCTCCGAAAGGAGATGGCTAAACTCCAAGAACGTAACAATCTCCTCTCGTCCAAAGTGGACGAAACCCAACGGTTGCTTAATCAGCAGGAAACGCAAAACGTTCGGAGCACCGAATCTTCCCAGAGTCAGCAGACCCCCGGTCGGCAGAGGAAGGGAAAACAGGGGGCAAAGGCAACGCCTGCGCCTTCCAAGCAGCTGGTAGTCCCGGCACCCCAGGACCAACCGCACGTACCGAAGAAGGTATACACCGACTGTCGTCATCGGATCAACGACAAGAAGGATGCCGAGCGGCATAGGTCCCCAATCAGACTAAACGCCAACTTGAGGGACTCCCGGATGAGGGTCTTGGGGGATAAGTCGCCCCTTCGGAGGGCTCAGGGTTTGGATTCGGCGCAGGAATCCGACGATGAGTACATCCCCACCAGGGACACCGAATCGAGCTACCGTTCGGAAGCTTCCCCGGAGTATTCGAAGGCGAGATCACCAAGTCCAAGGAAAGCTTCCGAGGACTTTGGTTCCGAGGACGTCCCCAGCCGAGACCCCACCATCCGATTACTTTTTCAAAGAATCCAGAAGATGGAGGAGGACCGAACCCGATCCCAGGTCCCTGACTGGGGAAAACTTCGGCCGGGACCGTTTACCGAGCGCATCAAGAGGTCCAGACCGGACAGGGAGGTGCAGCCGCTGCGCATACCCTTCTATACCGGTGTGGAGGACCCTCTGACGCACCTCCACTCCTTCCAATCGGCAGTTGGGTGTAAGGGCCTCAGCGACGAGGGACAATGTCTGCTGTTCCCCTCGTCCCTTACCGGAGCTGCGCTGAACTGGTTCTACCGTCTCGAGCCAGGGACGGTACATTCCTTTGACGAACTGAAGCAGATTTTCCTCAACCACTTCATGATCCAGACGGACCGGTTGTACTCTGCCGACGACCTGTACACGGTTCGGCAAAGGGAAGACGAACCCCTACGGGAATACGCCGCGCGCTTCAGTCACGAGTACTCGAGGTGTCCCGAAACGGACGACAGGGCAGCCTACGGCGCCTTCAAGAGTGGCCTACGGTCCTCTCACTTCCGGTACCTCGTGCACAGTAGCAACTGGCGCACGTATGACGAGTTAATGAAGCAGGCGGCAGTCCATGCGAAGGCCGAATACTTCAACTCCAAACCCGGGCCTTCGGCTCGGAGGGAGGAATCGGCAGCAAAAAGCTATCCAGGCCGAACCGACGAACCGTCGGCAGGACACAAACGGAAGGACAACCGGGATAACCGGCAGGGAAATTCGAAGAAAGGACGTGGGAAGTACGGTCGTAACGACCACCGGGCACCCATACCGAATCACGATCGTGCTCAGGAAGTCTTCACCCTGCTGAACACGACGTACGAGACCGTTCTAATGAACGAACGTGACCAGATCCCGAAGCCGACCAACCGGAAGCCCAATCGGCAGGATAATCAGGATACTGGCAAATTCTGTCGATATCACTAGCAGAACAGCCACAATACCGAAGACTGTATCAGTCTGAGGAAAATTGTCGAGCGCCTGATTCGGGAAGGGAAGTTGGATCAGTACCTTGCCTGGCCGCCACAGGCCCAGGCACCGAATGCGAATCGGCAGATCAACATGATCAGCGGTGGCCCCACCCTGGCGGGACCCTCTAACCGCTCGGCAAAGCAGTATGTGCGCGCCGCCCATTGCCCTCAGGTCTTCGGCATAGCGGAGGATCGGTGCCGAAAGGTGTCAAAGGTGGGATGGGAGCCCATCACGTTCAGTGAAGAAGAGGAGGAGGGGATCATCTACCCCCACGACGACCCAATGATCATTCGGGCCGAGATCGCCGATTACGACGTGGGTCGGGTGCTGATTGACACCGGAAGCTCGGTGAACGTGATCTTTGCCGATGCGTTCAAGGGACTGGGGATTGCGGATAACATGGTCAATCGGCAAATCACGCCTCTCCTCAGTTTCTCTGGGGATCTGGTACAACCGGTCGGTAGCATCAGTTTACCCATTGCCTTCGGCATGGCCCCCCGGAAGACCATGACCTATGACCAATTCCTCATTGTTGACTGCCCAACAGCATACAACGTCATCATAGGGCGAACGGCACTCACCAGGATCAAAGCCCACCTATCCACACACATGTTGCTGATGAAGTTCCCAACACGCAACGGTACCGGAGCCATCCGGGGAGATCAGCTCAGCGCACGGACGTGCTATGCCACGGCCCTTAAGTCGGTAGCCAGCAAACCGCCAATGGAGGCCATGACCCTGCAGGGACTACCGAACGGTAACGAACCCATTGACGACCCCCGGGAGGAAAACCCAACGCCAATGGCACAGCCCGCCGAAGAGCTGGAGACCATAATCCTGAACAAGGACTTCCCCGATCGGTGGGTGAAGATCGGCACCAATCTGGAACCCAACCTCCGAAGGCAGTTCATCGACTTCTTACGGCAGCATGCGGAAGTCTTCGCCTGGTCTTATGACGACATGCCCGGCATATCACCCGACGTCATCAGCCACAAGCTCAGCATCTCCCCCGCCCACAAACCAGTCAGGCAAAAGCGCCGATCGTACGATGCCGAACGGTATGAAGCGATGCGGGCCGAAGTTGACAAGCTCAAAGCCATCGGCTTTGTTAGGGAGGCTACGTACCCTGTTTGGCTGGCCAACTCAGTCATGGTTCGGAAAGCCAGGGGAGGATGGCGAATGTGCCAGGATTATACCGACCTGAATAAGGCCTGTCCGAAGGACAGTTTCCCCCTACCGAGGATCGACCAGCTCGTCGATGCCACCGCCGGGCACGAGCTGCTCAGCTTCATGGACGCGTATTCAGGATACAACCAGATCTTCATGGACCCTGCCGATAGAGAGCATACGGCATTCATCACAGATCGCGGTTTGTACTGTTACAACGTCATGCCCTTCGGCCTGAAGAACGCGGGGGGCAACTTACCAACGGCTCGTCAACCGGATCTTCGCTAAATACATCGGCGGCATCATGGAGGTTTACGTTGACGACATGTTGGTAAAGAGCCGAACGGCGGGGGATCACCTCGAAAACTTGGCCCTCATGTTCGGTATTCTAAAGGACTACCGAATGCGGCTGAACCCGGCGAAGTGCGCCTTCGGTGTATCTTCCGGAAAATTTCTGGGTTCATGATCAGTCAAAGGGGAATCGAGGCCAATCCGAGAAAATAAAAGCCATAATCGACATGGAGACCCCGAAGACGCAGAAGGACATTCAGAGCCTTACCGGACGTGTCGCTGCCCTGACACGCTTCATCTCCAAGGCTACCGATAAATGCGTACCGTTCTTCAAAGCTTTGAAAGGGGGCAAACATCATATAACATGGACTCCCGAATGCGACCAAGCATTTCAAAACTTGAAGAACTACATGAGCCAAGCACCATTGTTATCAAAACCACTGCCAGGCGAGGTACTACTCCTGTACCTTTCGGTATCCAACACTGCCGTCAGCTCAGTGTTGATAAGGAAGCCAGAGAAGGCGGAGCTACCGATCTTCTATGTCAGCAAGGCGCTCCAGAGCGCAGAACTTCGGTACCCACCCTTGGAGCAGTTAGCACTGGCCCTGGTCGTCTCGGCACGAAGACTTCGCCCTTACTTCCAGGCTCACGAAGTCACGGTTCTGACGAACCAGCCCCTTCGGCAGGTGCTCCAAAAGCCGGAAACATCTGGCCGATTGGTCAAATGGGCAATCGAGTTGGGAGAGTTTGACATACAGTTCAAACCAAGGCCTGCAGAAAAAGGCCAGGCCGTTGCCGACTTCATCTCCGAGCTCACACCGCCTGCTTTATCGGAACCATCATCGCCGAGCGTCGTCCCTACCGCACCAGAAAAAATGAATACCGAACGTTTCGACACTTCTGTTCCTCTTTGGATCCTGCACGTGGACGGCTCGGCAAACCAGCAAGGCTGTGGTGCCGGCTTAGTGTTAACCACTCCGGACGGTAGTAAAATCGAGTACGCCCTCCGATTCAACTTCCGAACCTCCAATAACGAGGCAGAATATGAGGCCCTCTTGGCCGGCCTTCGGCTAGCCCAGAGCATGAGCGCGAGGCAGATCAGCATTCACAGCGACTCCCAGCTCATAGTGAATCAGATAACGGCAGACTTCGCAGCAAAGATGCCTCCATGTCAGCCTACCTATCGGCAGCCCACCAGCTACTACAGAAATTCCAAGCCTATGAGATACGGCAGATCCCCAGGTCGGAAAATAGCCATGCCGACGCACTCTCGCGGTTGGCTTCGGCAATAAATGACAAGATCGGAAGGAAGGTACCGGTGGAGATATTAACCCAACCAAGTACAACCGCCGCTGAGGTATGTACCGTTCGGTACGAGGATACATGGATGTCTCCAATCTATGCCTATCTGAAGTCCGGAACCCTTCCTACCGACAAATCCCAAGCTCGGAAACTCCGCTACCGATTGGCAAGATACACGGTCATCAACGATGTTCTGTACAAACGGGGCTACACGACGCCGTACTTGAAGTGCCTGACCAAGGAGCAAGGGGGCTACATCCTTCGGGAGGTCCACAGCGGAATCTGCGGTGACCATTCCGGGTCCAGATCGCTCGCACACAAGGTCTTCCGGCAGGGTTACTTCTGGCCGACTCTGCACCAGGATGCGAACACACTAGTCAAAGAGGTGTGACAAATGCCAACGGTTCGGTAGTGTCCCTCATATTCCTGCCGAGCCACTGTCACCGATCGTGAGCCCATGGCCGTTCGCCCAATGGGGACTGGATCTAATAGGTCCGATGCCAGAGGGCAAGGGTCAGGTCAAATACGCTGTCGTTGCCGTAGACTACTTCACCAAATGGGTAGAAGCCAAGGCCCTGGCAACAATAACGGCAGCCAGGGTCGAGGATTTCGTCTGGACGAATATTTGCTGCCGATTTGGCATCCCCTACGCCATCGTCACGGATAACGGCAGGCAGTTTGATTCGGAAGTCTTCAGGCAATTCTGCAAACGACTCAAGATCAACCTGTTCTTCGCTTCGCCAGCGCACCCCCAATCGAACAGACAGGTCGAAGCCATGAACAAAATTGTCAAGAAGCTGTTGAAACGGCAGCTTGACAAAGCCAAAGGGGCATGGCCAGAAAAGCTTCCGGAGGCGCTATGGGCCATACGGACATCTTACCGAACGGCAACTGGGGAAACACCGTTCTCCATGGCTTTCGGTTCAGAGGCCGTAGTCCCAGTAGAGATCGGAGAGCCCTCCTACCGAACGGAAACCTTCGCACCGAAGGCAAACGAGGAAGCGCTGGCTCTGAGCCTCGACTTACTCGAAGAGCGCCGAGCACAAGCCAACCTTCGGAACGAAGCTTACAAACAACGCGTCTCTCGGTACTATGACTCCAGGGTCAGATCCCGTCTTTCCGAATCGGTGATTGGGTCATGCGGAAGGTCTCCTTGGCAACCAAGAATCCCACGGAAGGAACCCTCGGACCTTCCTGGGAGGGACCCTACGAGATCATCGGTATCCAGCGATCGGGGACTTACCGACTCAGAGACTCCAATGGAAAGACCCTCGGTCACCCTTGGAACGTAGAGCATTTGAAGTACTACTTCAAATGAAGTCACCTTGCCTACGGCAGGGTCACGGAGGTGTCACAAAAGCCTTCGGCATCTCTACAAGCACAGCTTTCGGCATTATAGCGTCACCAAGCCAACGGCGGGTTCTATACTGTAAAACGCGCTCATAATTGTAATCTCGCCTTCGGCAGTTTATCAATAAAAGGGCCTTCGGCTCACATATTCGGCACCTTTGTTATATCTTTCAAATCTGTCCATTTTTCGTTCAAAAAAAAAGGGTACGGTAGGGACCATCGGTCGCAGCTAACTACGCATTTTGGCATCGCCATTATCCTACCGATTAAAAGACAACTTGGTAAACTTTGCTGGAAGTTATAGGCTTTCGGCAATTACTTGCCATTGCTTTACAATCGGAACCCCCTGCGTAAAAGGAAAAGTCATTGGCCAACGGCAAGTGACCTTTGTTTAAAAACTTTCGGCATTAAACAGAAAAATTTCCTAAATACGCTACCGATTCAAAAGTAAGATGCAAAGATCTTAAAATGAAAACATGAACTTTAATTGAAAAAATGTCTACGGCATTAATTATCCAAAACAAGAGATGCCAACGGCATCAAAGTTAGTACAAAACTACCAAGGGTACAGGAAATCAAAGTTACATTAAGGAAGAAAGGTTCAGGACGACGGGTCCTCGGCATTCACCCCTTCGGCACCAGCAGCTTCAGGCTCTTCCGGAGCGTCCTCCCCCTCATACTCTTCGATCATTTCTTCTGTGACGCCTTCGGGAAGGGGAGGAGGATCGGCAATAAAATTCAGATTGAGCTTCGTCCCAGGATTGTACCGCTTGAATCGGTAGATGAGATCCACCATCTCCGAGCCCACCTCCTTGTCGAGCAAGGTAGAGAATTCGGCAGAGTGGCGATACTTCCGAATGGCCTCCTGGACGGCAGCCTCAATCTCCGATGCTTTGGCACGCTCCGATTCCTCCAGAGCCACCGCAACGGCATCCTTTGCCTCCAGAGCCTCCTTAGCCGACAGCTGTGCCGACTCCAGGGCAGACGACAGATCGGCGAACTTGGCCTCATACACCTTGACCTGCCGTTCGGCAGCTTGCAAATCCTTCACCAGGTTCGCATGGTCCTGGATAGCCTTGCCAGCCTCGGCAACCCTGGCCCTGCCGTCGTCGTAGGCCTTCTTCGCCTTCTCCGAGGCATTGATGGCCCGCTTCATGCAGAGCCACATGTCCATCGAAGCCTGCAGAACAACGAGCATGTCAGCAAAGATTCAAACATCATCGGTAACCTGAATCTGAAAGTGTTCTTGACTTACCGATGCTTGGAGACGGAAGGCGCGACCCGCCTCCTCCCGAAGGAGCCTCCTCGGCAGCTCCTCGATCTCGCTCAGTTCCATTTGCGAACCAATGATCATGTGGTTCGCGAACTGGACCGTCTTCGACGGACACGCAAGGGTGACGGGATCGGCAGGCTCCTCGTCATTTTCGGCGGCAAAGATGGCCCGGGTTGGCTCGGCCTGCCGTCCGCGTTTTGGGGCCGGTTCGGCATCTAGATCGACAGTAAAAGGCCGTTTGCCGGCCGCTCGGGAGGAAGCCCCTTCGGTAGTGGCGCCTCGGCGGGGAGAAGGGTCGGCCGCTGCCGCTCTGGTCTGTGCCGATTCGGCGTTAAGCTCACGGAGGCGATCGGCCAGCGTCTGGTCCTCAGGGTCCACCGATGCCGAGCCCTGCGGCTGGGTTTTCTTCTTCTTCCCTGGAAGCCCATCATAAGACGCCGTTTGGAGGACTCGTTCATCCTCTTAGCCTCGGCAGCTCTCCGGTCCTCCGTCACTGCGAGAAAAGGGTTCGGTAAGACCCGCAACAGAACAAAAGGAACGATTTGTAAATTACGAAGTGTACTTACTCTCAGCAGGATCGATCAGTTGGGCCCGGATCAGATTGTTGGTGAAGAGGAACTGCGGATACACTCTCTCCTCGGCAGGGACTTTCCTCCTCACTCTCTCCACCTGCTGAATCTCGGCCTGTGTTGCGATCGGCTGCTTCAGCTTACCTACAAAAGAAAAGAGGAAACGTTACTCACAGTAGACAGATAACTCGAAGAAGGTACCGAACGGTACGTGGTCCTACCGGCCATTTGGAAAGTTGTGGGAATGCGAAATCGGACAGGCTGTCCCGAAGGCGACTCCCAATCGCCCGAGAGGAGCACCCGCCGATTCCTCCACGACTTCTGTGAAGTCGGTACCCAACTGACGAAGTGGCCTCGATCGGTAGCCTTGAGGCAGTTCGCCTGCACCCACCTGCCGTGATCGGCACACTTGGACTTGGTAACGCTGTACAGATGGGAGAACTGGTCATAGGAGGGGCTCCCTTCGCCAGCCATGCCGAAGGCCGTTATGACTCCCATGAGGGCCACCCAGAAGTTGGGGTTGAATTGCCTCGGGGCATAGCCGATCTGGGCTAGGATCCTCTGCACCGCCGGCTGCAACGGCAACCGAACGCCTTGTACAAGGACGTCGGTAAAGAAAACTACTTCGCCGTCCTTCGGCGCGCTAAGGGACTCGGTAGGGCCCGGGATCCTCATCCGTACCGAGTCGGGAATGCGGTACTCGGCACGAAGCTTGGCAATCTCCCGATCGGTAATCTTGTTCGGCCCCAGATAGTCTACGCCGAATAGGTTCTCCTTCGGCACCCCCATGGGCACCCTAGGGTTGCTTGGGTACACCACCGATACCCTGGGTCCAGATGGCGGCCTGACTACCGATTCTCCACGCCCAGAAGTGGAGGTCTCCGACTGACGGCTACCGCTCGCCTCCCCGGGCATACCGAGGCCCACGTGGCGGCCGTCACTGTAGACAATGGACAATGGGACGGGAGCGGTCATTAGCCCCTTCTCGACTCCGTGTGTTGGAATGAAGCTGGGCCCTTCGCCGAGTATCTCGACGTCGGTATCACTCCCGCCCTCGGCATCAGGCCCTGCCGCTTCACCGTCGGAGTCAAAGAGACCGTCCGATGACTCCTCGTTGAACGCGTTGGGCTCGCGCTCGGAATATGACTCGCTATCAGACATCTACAAAAACAGGAAGAAGGGAAACTAAGGCTCATGCCGGATGCTATCCTACCGATTCCTACATCGCTACCTATGGCGACTAGACTACCGAATGGAACCCTATGGTCAGTCAAGTTCGAACCAAGGAAGGACGTAACCCTAAAAAGCATGTAAAGAGAAGGGTGCCGAACGGTACCTTAGGGTGTGCCCTGGAGATAAGCGCTATCTGCTCTTCTGGATGCTTCACTACCGTTCGCAATGCCGGGAATCGCCTCTCCTACCGTTCGAATCGCCGGGAATCGCCTGGTTACCGTTAGCTCTCGTCGGAAATCGCCTCAGACAGAGCTCTCACTTCTCACTAGATGCAAAGTGAGTGCGCATCCGGGGTTATCCCTATTTATAGGGGAAGTGTTTGGCAACGGTACTCCTCGAGAAACCAAACGGCGCATTAATGCGCCGCGCGCCATCATTACTTTCGCCACGTGTCACTCACCCAATGGAGAACTGACGGCACGCGAGGCGCGGAAGTCGAAGCGCTCAGACGTCTCTTCGCCCGTCAGATCGACGCGACCTTCTGACTTCGCCAATGTCAGCCTCTGAGCTGGTCATGCCGGAAGGAACAAGGTTTTGCCCCTCCCCCAGCGGGGTTACCGAACGGTAAGGCCATGTTTCCTCCCGAGGACGAATTCAAATCCCCTTCCGAAGACTCTCGCAAGGGGACTTGGGGGACTCCTGTTTATACCAAAATGAACACCCAATGAACATCAACCACGTGGACTATTCCAAGGCTACGTGTGCCTTCGGCACTCATCTTCGGCACTGTACCTACCGATCACAACATTAGGGCAACCTTGCCCACTCTGGCACGTGGCATCTCCACGATTGACGCCCAGAGTCCCACATCGAAACTCTAAGCAAATTGCACACCTCCCAAGGCCTATAAAAGAGGACACCTATCCCAGCCTGAAGGTAATCAATCAGAACTGACGGCACACTGCCTATTGATCTGCAGTTTAATCTTACTAAACCCGTACTTACTTAAGCATCGGAGAGCCTTCGGCCGGTACCACACCGGTGCCCTAGGATTTACCGTGTGTTTGCTATCTTACAGATCGCACACCCTACCGAGGACATCAGATACCGAAGGGACTTAATCACTAAGTTACGCGGGAAAGTGCCGAACCATTTTTCTGCGTCAACAAATTCATTAAGGTTTTTAATCTTCTTCCTAATATAAATTAACGAAATCATAATCTAAGTTGATATTGATTAATTAAATATTTATGACTGCACTTATTAAGTCATCTAGAACTCAAATTTGGTGTACAAGTTTGGTGCCACTCAACATTATTGTGATTGGCCATTCTACTTACTTGCAAGGGCGGAACCACACTAAGGGCTATAGTGGGCTGTAGCCCAGTGTGGTTTTTTAAGAATATATATATATATATATATATATAACTTATTTTCAATATTTAGCCTAGTCAGTGGCGCTGTACAGATTATCTTATTTCCATTTTCAACATTTAAGTAAATGTCTTTGTCATTTACTTTTATTTATTTTTATATTACTCCATTTACTTAAGTTTACAATGTAAAGAAGGAAGTATCCCCATTTGGATTCAAACAAAAATACTAGAAAATCAAATTCCCACCAAATCAAAATATGAAAAATCGATTTTAGTGCAAAATACGATTTAGGCTAAAAATGATGTCTCATTAAGTCAATATATACTTCATACTAAAATCCCATGAAATCAAGTTTTCTTATTTGATATGTGAGGAATAAAAGCCGCCAAAAATTATCATGAGAACATGATTATTCCGAAAACCGATTTTTCATACTTAGTCAATATTTTTACATAAAACAACTTTTCATGTATGATATGAATACATGAAGAAACCTAAGGTCAATCTAGGTAAAAAAACCTTAAATATTCAATCCACTATGGTGTTAAACCCTATTTGGTTTATGTAAAAATTTATTGAAAATTAGTCTATGGAGCTATGAACTAGCTTGGTTTATATGATTTAATGTTTACTTTTATTTCTAGAAAGACTATAGAAATTGTAAGTACCAAAAAAAATAATCATTAAATTTTAAGCTAATAACTTTAGCTAGCCCACCCGTTGAAAAATTCCTAATTTCGCCCTTGCCTACTTGAGATATTTTTTTGACTTCTATGATTTCGTTGTTGCTTCAATTGGATTGGGTCTCTAAATTTTGTGGGCATCTTGGCTTGAATGACCACGTGATTTGGGAATTCTGAGTGGGAGGTACTCCTTAATAATTGTTATGGATGGAACTGTCATAATACGCATGCCGTTGGTGAAGAAAACATGATTCACATATAGGCCAGGAACGGGTCCCCATGTTGAACCAAACTCATTAAGGATTCTCTACTCAAGCCGCTCATTTCCACTTAACCCACTTTTCTCAACAATCTCTTTCCACTCCACCTCATCAAATTCATCCTCACTCTCTAAATCCCGTGCACACGTTTTATTTATTTTTTGCATGCGTACCCAATAGACCTATTTAAGTGTTTTTTGCAATTAAAAAATCCCCAATGGGTCCGGGCTAGGGATGGTAATGGCATTCCTGTCCTCTGAACCCAGCCTAAAAATATTATATACTAAGGTTTAAATTAATAAATATATAATATATATAATTATAATAAACATATAATCTCATATACTGTTATCCTAGCGCGCTCTAACACAACACTCACCCCCCTCTGCTCTCTGCTCTCTCAATCTCTTCACATGCTTTGTTTCAGAACCAAACTCAAAAGCTCAATCTCCTTCGCATGCTTGGGAAATTTGTCACTTTCTTCCTTCTTCTTTTTTATTTATTTAATGGTTTTGCTAAATGGGTTTTCCTTTGTTTGTGTATTTCTTGGTTGTGTGTAGTTGGGTGGGTTTGATAGGGATTCTTCAAAAATTATTATGGGGGATGGGAACGTTGATGGTATTGCCATACTCGGCCCATTATCATCTCTAGGCACACCAAATGCCTCGGCCAATCCAACTAATAACACCTCATTGGTAAAATTAAATACTTGTTGAAATTACTAAATTCAAATTGAATCATGTGAAATATTCTAAAAAAATTAAGATATATTATGAGTTAGCATGCACAAGATGTGGTTTTCTATATGTATCTCTCTTTATTACCATATCCAAGAGTCTTCTCCCAGTTCTTGTTGCATTTTTAAGGATGCCTGAGACAACTATTGAAAAGAAAGATATATATGGTAGCAACACATTGATTTAAATATGAACCAAGACTGAAATTTTTTATTATAGTGCATAGCATAGTCCAAATATTTTGTTCAGTTAGTAGCGAATTAAAATCAGAAAAGGATCTTTAAAAAATGATGTTGAAACATAATATGTGGTGAAAAGATTGCTCATCAAGATGCGACATTTCATAACTTCCTTCTGTTATCTACTTATCCAGGTTCTCCTCTAATCCAGCTAGAGCTAGAAAATCTAATATTTGTCGTTGCTCATATATGAAACACACCAACCATTTGATGAAAGAAAAGATATCTTCATGTGAATGGCAAATCACTTTGCACACACATCTTCTCTACGATCCAAAGAGTTTAATTTGTTTGTCGAGGGGGTTATTGTAATTTTATCTATTGTTTGGAAAGTAATTAAGAAAATTAAAATTCAACAGAAAGGGTATTTGGGAAGGATGCTGTGCTGTGTGAGAATAGTTTGAAAAAGGGACCCTGCAAAAGCGATGGATAGACAAACACAAGAAGACATCTGCTATTTCAACTCTATACGTTGGTTTGGCTTGAAATGTAATGAAGGGGTGAAAAATTTGAGAAATCCGTCATTTGGTTCGTACACAACACAAGAATAGGAATGCCCCTAAAACCATGAAACGAGCATTTGCAAATTAAAATAGAAATTGTTGGTTAAGCAAGGCATTGCAAGCTATGTTGGAGTTGAAATTAGTCTCATATTGGCAAACTAGAGTTTCTTGGCACTCTTTAGAGCAAGTCCATCGGTTGGACTTGCCAAGGCAAAAGGCCCTCTAGGCCAAAGAAACCCACTCCAGCGATCACATCCAACTCGGCAGATGGTGGGCTCCATCAAGACTGGGCAGCCCCAAAGGCAAGAACAGCCTGAGTTGTTGTCTAAGGGCACTGACGTCAAAGATGAAATAATTTCAAAAAAATCAATTTTTTGTTGTTGAAAAATTACCAAAAAATACATAATATATATTTTTTTGTACATACCTAGCAATTTTTTATTTATTATTAATCTCATACATATAAATAAAATTAATCCCATGTAAATAATAATTTCTCTTGGGTTGCCATGACAATGGGTGGAAAAGCAACAAAAATATTGCTAGGCATATACTATTCACGTGAATAAGGATGAGAAGAAGGAACCGAGAAGAAAGTATCAGCAATAACCGGTTTTATTACGGGACAACTCATGATGTTCATATAGATCTATAGTAACTGCCTTTACTTGCCCTAACCCTTTGTCATGGCAAAAGGGGGTTTAGGCTCCAAAAACAACTCCCAAGTAAAAATTGCCATGATAAAAAGTGGGGCCCGTAAAACTGAACAAGCCTAAAAGCAAGACTTGCCTAGAACAGGCCCATAAAGTTAAATACTTATTTGTTTTCCTCATTGCAACATTGCGGAAAGTACAACTTTCTTATAATTATGACTAGAATAGGTGAGATGCCCACAAGCATGATCATGCGTTCTTTGAAATTTCTTCTAACAAACCATGATCATATTTATTATAAAACTGCCATTTTTGTTAGAGTTTTAACATATATTTTTCATAGTGAAAGGAGCTAACATAATATCGAAATTTTGACATATATATAATATCTGTGACATTATGTTTTTTACACAATTTTGATGTAGGTTTCACACAATTGGATTAGCCTGCTATCGATGAATGAGATTAAATCTAACATGTGAAGTTTAGTATTTTTATTTTTTTAATAAACACATTAATTTTATATTTCTCTCACCTCCCTCTTTAATATCAATTATTTATTACCTAAACACACCAGGAATCTCAGCAAAAAAAAAAAGCCTTTTCATGTTCACCTTCTTCACGGAGAGGGTCATGTGCAGCTCTAAAGCATTGAGGAGTAATCATCTTCTCCAAAATCATTTTTGTCTCTAATTCACCTTGTATACCATGGTGATTTACTGTATCTATTTCCTTGTAAAGCACCCTTATAAATTCTTATATATCTCTTTATGGAGAAGAATACAACTAACCTAAAGTATTCAAACCATATTCGTATTTTAGCAACATGCAA